GAATACCGCGTCGCGTCTTTTCTTTTCTCTCATACATTACGTTAGACAAATTAAAGTTAACATATTTACTGAACTAAAATAGTTTTTCGTTATGAATAGGTTAACGCATTGTTGTAGGGAATACTGAGACGCATCGATTACTGTGTTTAAAATTACATGATTCCATTTACAAAAACGTACATCACCTTCATACGATCTCTACCTGGTCATGTACAAAAAGACTAAATACTCTGGATTACGTCCCCTTTGAAATCATTCACTTTTTGTCTGAACCATTTTTCGTGATACAATTGATAGCTTTTCAGTAATTTGCATGATTTTTTTTTATAACCGAGCACACTGTATAAAGTAGCTGCACAGTATACACCCTGTATAATAATAACAGTAGTATAAAATATGATAAAAACAGATAATAACGGAATAAATAATGGACTTTGAAAATAATTACTAACTTTATCGTTGTTACAGCTTATTTTTAATGAAGCAGTTCTTCTATATCAAATTGATGAATTGATGATTAAGATAATTTACTAATATCATTCAAAAGTCTAATTATAAAAATGATTGAAAACAGAGTTTCGAAATTATTAATTTACATAATAAGCACATAATTAGCATAAATTATGCTAAATATTTTAGGATTATGTATTGTTATTACTATGTGCACGGTAACGAGTATAGAAAGAGATGATTGCCTTTATGATAAATGAGAATATAATTTAAAAGAAAGTAGATAGTAAGATGCGACTTTTACCTCCTGAAGATTTAAATCCTAAGAGAACGTAGGTATTCGAATCATAACATTGCCGAAATAAATCGATGGTATAATTATGCAAATTGGAATTTCTCCAAACCACAAATTTAATTAGAACATATCGAATTTTACTCGGATCAACAGCAAACTGACGCGTAATGCAACGCGTTGCTGGGCAGTTTTATTGTCATTTTTTAATCTCGATTCTGCAATCAAACGTTGCTAATTTCAATAGCTACGTTTGAATGTGTCAGTTTGATAGAAATTGTATCATTTCATCGAAAATACCGAAATCATAAAACGATACTACAACTTGACATACATTTGTTCTCTTTTTTTTTCTGAAATACTGGAGTTTCCTCGTGATAAAATATACAGATAATTAAATTGTATTTTCTGAATATCTTCTAATTAATTCTAATTCTGTATTACAATTACACGACGACTGTGTAATGAAATGAAAGTTATATACATTTTATAGCGATATAATGAGCATAATCTGTTTTATACAGAAACGCAATTTATTATTTAAATACTATATATATGAACACAGTGCGCAAGATATTTACATTATGAATGATATTGTAATTACATTATTATAATTATTCTATTTAACAAATATGCAACCGTTAATTTATAACTTGTAATTTACCAGTTTATTATTGTAATAATAATAATTTATTGATTGTCAAATTATTATGTACAGTTCGATGTAGTTTCGATCTATAATGTTATTTGCTACTTAACTACTTTCACATACAAGATATCCCTCTCAAACACAAATTTTTTAATACAATAATGATCTAACGTCGAACTTGTGCTTATCTTTACACAGTTATCTCAGCTATCTTCTTTCATGTACAACGTCGTATCGAGAACATTGTCACGTACTGTTCGATCACCTCATAAGTATCAGTACACTCGATGGTTTGCTATCAGGGAATCGGTTAATCGACCAGAGAAGAAGAAGTATGATTCAAAATACACGACAAAAATGTAGAGATCTACTTGCAAAATCTATAAAAGAACAACGAATTGATATAATTGAATAATTAATTTTTTTATTTTGATCTAAATCTCCATTGAAAGAAATTGCAATAAGAGAAATTTGCTCAAAATCTAATGGAAATTTAGAATCTGGTATGTAAAATCGTTTACGACATATATGAAATTAAATAACGCCAAATAGAATGGACAAACTAATAATACATATGTATAAGATACGGTGAAAAATTATTAAACCAAAGTCTGAACGATATCTTTTACTCCGCAAAGAAAGAAGTTCAATGGTGCGGAATTTAGGTGATCTACGAGAAGCGTTACCATGGTAGATTTATCACAATCGTTGTATTCTACTATTCTATGTGATACTGCAATGACTTCGTCTATATCATTTTCGTACGAGTCTACTTCCTCATTTTCTTCTGTCACTTCATGCAGCAAAAGTTTGCCACGTACTCTCTTCGGTGTTTCCTTGGTTTCTTCGGTTTTTTCATGATCAATTAGTCACGTGCTACCATATTGCTGTTATCCTTTAAACTTAATTTTTTATGAATTCCAATTACATTTCTGTTCGTAAAACAAGTGTGTAAACACTTCGTATGTTTACATACGGTATTGTAATAGAACATTTCACTAACAGAACGTTCATATAAAACAACATTCAACTAATAGAACGTTCATATAACAGAAGGTTTAGCTAACAGAACGTTTATATATCATACTCTCCATATAATAGAACGTTTAATTAATAAAATTTTCGTATAATAGAACATTCAACTAACAGAACGTACATAAAACAGAAGGTTCAGCTAATAGAACATTCATATAGTAAGACGTTCAACTAACAGAATATCCACATAATAACGTTTCGATAATAAAAAAAATCTAACTAATAGAACGTTTATATAATATAATAGCTATATATAATATAATAGAATATGTCACTAACAAAACGTTCGTATAATGGAACATTCAACTAACAGAACGTACATAAAACAGAAGGTTCAGCTAATAGAACGTTCATATAACATAATCTCTATATAATAGAACGTTTAACTAACAAAACGTTCGTATAACAGAACATTCAACTAACAGAACGTTCATAAAGCAAAAAGTTCATATAGTAGAACGTTCAACTATCAGAATGTTCACGTAATAAAACGTTCTAGTAATAAAAAAGTTCAACTAACAGTTCAACAACTAACTTTCATGTAATAGAACTTTCATGTAACAGAACGTTCATATAACGTAACGTCTAAATAATAGAACGTTGAACTAACAGAACGTTTATATAATAAAGCATTCACACAACGGGTGTTCATATAACGATAGATCTACTGCATTCTACAATTTTGGAAAATGTCTAGGACGGAAGGTCGAACGAGAAGCGACCTGATTATCGACGAATGTCGCGGTGAGCTAAATTGCAAGTCAAACGCACCCTCGGAAGTACCTTTCCCCCAGTGTTGCTTTCGCACTCGCGTGTGTACTCTCGTAGGACGACGTGTTTACCAGTCGAGGCATGTTTACTGGAATTTGCGGCCTGTTCGTTTTCCAACGTGAACGTCATCGCAAAGACCGTTTTCAACCGTTCTGTATTCTCCGTTGACTAGAGCTCCGACCGAGTTTCAACGCTGAAAACGATGTCCACGATGACCACAAAGGAAGAACGGATGAATTAATTCGCTAATTCGATTCCTTTCTGCATCCGTCAATTGGCTGCACCCGCACGTCCGTCCTTTGGGCCGCGGTTACAGAATAGTATTAATTATCGCCGATCAACCTCGTAATTGAAACGTTCTCCACCGGACGTGAATGCACGTACTCAAGCGTGATGCGGAATCATTGTTCGATGCACAGCTTGAACGGCGAATTTCATTGATCGAAGAAAATACGACGATTCGAGGTTCTTTAAGCAAATTGCTTGTCGTTGAAGGATTTAGAGAGGACCAAGAGATGATTGGTTGATTGTAAAATACCTAGCGTAATGTTGTACGTTTGTCCAAGGTTTTTCGTTTAAGATATTTATTTCAAAAGGATAAACAGTCGTTATAGATAAGATACAGTTATCGATTACAAGATACAGTTATCGCGTAGTGATAGATAGGATTGAAAATTGTAAATTATAAATTATTAGTGAAAATAATTTCACTAATACAAAAACGAAAACATTACAAAAACATTACAAAAACGAAATTCCAATGATTTGCTTCCAGTATGATCGACTTCGTAAATAAAACTTTCAATGTTTATGGTCTTTTTAAAATTAGTATTAAATTATTATTCAACGTATGTATTTCGATCGTTCTATAGCAAAGTTATTACAAAACTAGAACTTTGATTCGTTATCGTTGATCCTTTGGTCTATTTTTTACTGTATTCCCCAACCTGAATTTTTCAAATCATTAAAAAGATAATTTTTTTCCAGTCGTCCCCAGAGAGATCTTCCGTCGTTAAAATATCATTCATCGAACGTTTAACGAACTTCCGCCGTGAATTTGCCTCTTTTTTTCTTCTCTCTTCTTTTCTTCGCCTTTGCCATTCGCCGCGTAATAAAGCCGGAATAATTTTGAATTTTATTTTCACTCGTCGATGAATGAATCACCATCAACGGCACACTCGACGAAGTTCCACCATCGACGTTCTACCCGGAATAACCGATCGAATGGACACTCGAAACGGATTCGATTCGACTGTCCGCTAGCAAAAATTGTTCCTCTCTAATTCGAGCAGTTCTCTGTAAAACTACTTGAAAGGATAACGCCATCCTATATAAATATTCGTATATCATAAACCATTGGGTTATTGTATAAATTGTATCGCTATATTAAAAAAGATATTCATTATTACAGACAATGTGTTTGGAAAGAAACAAATGATTAAATAGATAGATTGATAGTACTAGAGGATAAAAAAAATCTTTTGTTCTTTATTTAGATGTAAAATGGAAGAAGTAAAGATATTAGGCAAAATATCTTGCTTTTAAAAATATTTAAAGGAAAACGCAGTTGTTTTAAACAAACTATAAACTTATAATGTTTGAATATCGTAATTATGTCTTAGAATGAAAAAAGCTTAGACTATTTATAGTCTCTATAAAAAAAAAGGCAAAACCGAAATAATCGCCGATTATTTGTTATATTTTGTTATATTATCCAACGTACTTTTGATATTATAGTATCACTTTGAACGATACATTTTTGTTGAAACACTAACCATCGTTCTTCTGAATATCTCATTTCAGAAATAGAAGGTATCCGAACGCTAGGCGTTTCAATCGAATTGATGAATGAATTAGGACGCATTGCGAGGGAGGATCGGTCCCAAGACATCATGAAGCAGCGAGTCCTACTGGCCCTCGCCAACTTGATCACCTCCTACGCATCTTTCCTGTAAGTACTTTTCAAATTATTTTTAAGAAATCTTATAATTAAAAATATAAATATAATTATAAAAATCTGTAGCGGTCCATGGCCGTAAAGAAAAGTTCAAGATTCAAGCGCATGTGTTGGCTACATGTCCTGCGAAACGACGTCAGAAGTTAGAACGTCGTAAAAGAAAAAACCCTGGAACTTGCAAAAATATACAAGGGCTTTTGATAATAAAAAGAACCGTTTCCCTAACCCCAAAAGAAAACTTTCTCTTTCGAGGGCAACCTATATAAAGGGAAACGAGGAAAAGCTCGAAACGGTTAGTCACAGAAGTCAGTCAGAAACATACGTCGCAAATTGCGGTGCGCGGAAATCTACGCTGTCCGCGGCGTTCGTCGCACGCACTTCCTCGTTGACCCTTGCCATTTCGAACACTTGCGATTTACGGAAACGATGTCTTCATGTGGCGCTAACACGTTCACCTCTGTCTTTTCAAATCACGTTGAGATTCCCAATTTGAGGTGGTAGGACGTGTAAGGTGTCAAAGAAATACTCCGCGAGTTGATCGAAGACAGACTTGACAATCTTATTCGTTCTTCGTTTGCTCGTCGTCGACTAAATTTCACTTACCACTCGCGACGTATGTCGAAAGAGAAAGTTTTCTTTCTGGGTAGGGAAGCAGTTTTTTTTTTTATTATCGAAGGTGCTTTTTTTTATTTGGAGGAATTTTACAATCAGTTCTCATTGAGAATTATAAGTAAATTATTCTGGCGTGGTATTATAACGTGAATAATAAATGGTTATCGTATGTTTGATTCTAGCTGAATCTAATGTTTAAATCTAGAAGGTAATGTCTTTTTAGTCTGCGGATCTAATCCGTCGTGTCAAGTAACTGAGTAACTAATGGGTTTTGGTGATTGTTAACTCTTAGCCTAGATTGTTAGCCTCGGACGTCGTTTCGCAAATTACGTGGCCAACACATGCGCTTAAACCCTGAACCTTTCTTTACGACCATGAGCCGCTACAAGTCTTATAATTGTAATCTTATAAATATAAATAAAAGCATCTTAACGAAAGTGTAGCAAGACAGTTTTACACTGCATTAACTATATATTCAATTTACTATCATAAAGATCGAAGATCAAATATCATACGCTCATTTTTCTCGCTACATTAAAGAAAAGCAAAATAACATTACATAACTCTGCCTTATCTAAAAAAATTGTTTACGCAATAATAGAAAGTTAGAAAATAAATGCGAATAATAAAGAAACGATTTAAGCAAAATCAGATTAATAACAGAAAGACATGTGTTAACAAAAATTGCATTAACGTATTCCACCATCGGTAATAATTAAAGCAAAATCAATTTTTTGTATCAAAGCGTCGCGTCTCGTCGTAAATCATAAAAAGAAATTACAGATATCAAACATAGAAATATCTAGGCTAATAAAAATGATACGTCAAATCATCTGATAACAGAGACACTTAAGTACAATATGATTAAGTCGTACGATTGATCTTATGCGATGGGTCAAGCTCTCAGCTCAGGATGTATTTTCCAGTGTCCGTTCGACGAGAAACCGTGAATGCAACGATGGAATATTCGAAGTTAGATGAGCGTCGTAATGCAGATCGTTGGAATCCTGTTTGATTTGAACCCTCTTGTCAGACAATTAACCCAATTCGAGGCGGTCGCTGAATAACACTCCATTTCTTGGCGTTATTCTCATAATTGTCCATTTCCTCGTTTCATCATGCGAACAATTTAATTTAGAATTTCGAAAACATCATATCTCGTTCAATGTATGCTCTGCTCGTTCTAAAGTTGCGCGAAGATATATTTAAAATAATTTTTTTTGCAACAATATCGATTATCTCATATAAATGCAATCATCTTGGACGACGTATAAAGAACGAATAATTAAGTAAATAACGATCGATCGAGTAAACTAATTGGAATTCTCTGTTCACGAATGTGTAAAGGACCTATGACGTTTATATAACTCATATACAAATCATAATTGTAAATCATATAATTATAGTGAACTTCAGAATATGCCTGTTCAAAAATATTTGTGAAAGAATTTACATAAATTTGACGTGATCTGCACGCGGTCTAAATCCGATGCATAAATTTTTTGTAATCGCGCCGAAAAGTTCCTTCCATTCGTATAAGAATTCGTTTTATTTTTCTACTCCTTTGTATCGTATATATATATCATTTATCGTAGTCTCTTGAAGCGTACGACACGGTCATTCAAGAACAAACTCCTTCAGTCCTTCCAAATATTTCGAGAAACTTTCGTTCAATATTTTAATCAACTAGAAATTCCAACATTTGTCGAAACGAACGAGTAGAGATTTAATTTTCTCAACAGCGAAGTATTGCTAACTTGTACGAATCGAGCGGCGAAGCATCGATTTTCATCATAGATCCGTAATAGGCAAGAAATTTTGCTGTCTCCGGAAGAAGCGAAAAATTCTCGTCGATCCATAAAGAGAATTCGCCTTGGTATTTACATAAAAGACTAGCAAGAGGTCGAGGAGAACGTTAATCAGCTATATGAAAGAAAGAACGTTCCTTGGAAAGCATCACTCGGATTCTTATTTCCCTCGCAAACAGGTCAACTGTCTTTTAATAATTTCAATATGTAAATCCTTATATAAGCATATCCAAAGCCTCTTACATGTGTATCTCGACGATGCGCCGCTTATATCGTCACGAGGCAAAAGTCGTTCATGGTGCATCGATCTGTACGGAAGAGACGCGGCGAGAAGAATCGAGAGATCGAAAGGCACGATGTCAGCAAACAAAGAGGACCGCTAGTATAGGAGATCCTAGAAAATAGAGTAGTAGACGGGAATGGTAACGGATAACAGTGGCAACGTGTCCGATCGAGCAGCTGGTTTTCATCGTGACCTAAAAGAACGGACAGGCATTAAAATGCCGCTTTATTTCGGTTTAAAAACGATACAGCCGCAATTTTCGTTCTATCCTGGCGAAATTCCCTCGTCCCAATTTCCACCCCCCGAGTGTGTACACTGTGCCACGTGTACACATGTGCTGCTTGTACCGTGAAACATAAACGAAACGGCATTGAACACGAGAGAAAAAAATGAGGCACCAGGGCCAAAAAGCTTACTGTTTTTCTGTTTAGTGTCCCTTCTGTATTTTTTTTTTAATTCTTTTTCTATCTTTTTTCCTTTTTTTTTCGAGTGAGGATAAAAGAAAATAGAGAAGAGAGAGAGGGAGAGAAAGAGAGAAATTTATTAATTTACATAGAGAGAGAGGAAATGTTTAGACTCGACAAGTTTACTGTTTCTCTGTTTAGTGTCCTTTTTACTTCTTTAAAATTCTTTTTCTATGCTTTTTCCCGAGTGAAGGTAGAAAGAAATAGAGAAAAGAGAGGGAGAAAAACCCTCGAGATTTATTAATTTACATAGAGAGAGAAAATGTTTAGGCTCAACAAATTTACTGTTTCTCTGTTTAGTGTCCTTCTTACTTTTTTAAATTCTTTTTCCAAGTGAAGGTAAAAGAAAATAGGGGGAAGGAAGAGAGAGAGAGAGAAACGCTTGAGGTATATTAGTTTAACTAAAAAGAGAAAATGTTTGAGGTGGGCCGAGAATGTGTTTGCGTTTCTGTGGATTCTTTTCGTTTTCAGTCTTTTTCGGTGTCTTTTTTCAAAAAGGAGAATGACAATACGATGTTTTGTACGGGTATACGTGGAAGTAATTTTGCTATTTCACAGCTAAAGTCGAAGGGAGAACAAATATGATGTTTCACCGGGGAAAGGGGTCACGCTGGAGAATTTTCAGTTCACTGATCAAAGTAAACTCGGTAAAAAAGTGTTTCGATGAATCAGAGATTTGTAGCGTGGGAACGCATTCAGTCATAGGCACAAAAAGTTCTCTAAAATACTACAAATTAGAAAGTTTATAAAATCATATATATCGTTGGGCAATTTCTCAAATATTTAAATACTTAAATAACACTAAGAAGATAAATATCAAGAATAAATATTGTTAGACTTCAAGTAGCCAAAATATATTTTCCGTTACTCTTATTACTTTTCTATGTATTTATCAACCATTAAAAATTATTAATATAAATTAAATCCATCTGATTTAATCCTAATCGTATCAAATTTCAGCTACAAACTGCTTCAAAAATTTACAATACGTTTCCTTCTGTCCGTCCCTTTGCATCTCTCGCTCCTCTTCGACGATCCCTTTCGCAGTAGCTGTGTGGTACAAAGCAACTTTAGTTTGCGATAACGGCAAACACTATGGTACGACCAAATGTCCTCGATACTTTCAAATGTAGAGGATACGGAAACCAAAACGACCTAGCACGTGCTTTGCAAAGACTTGTTTTTGTAATGCGTTTACAAAGGCTTATGCGCTAGTACGCACGAATTTGCGAGTGAATCGAAAATATATAACGTTCGAAAGATTAAAAGTACGAACGAAGAATGGCACAAAATAGTTTCATCGGGTAAATCAAGTTTTACTATTTTAACACTTCAGCAAAGCAAGAGTGTTCGATGAATTTATGAAAAACATGAATTTCCATAAATATTTACAATTATAGTGAATAAATAAAAAGTATAGTGAAATTAAGGAGAGAAAGAATATTCTTTGTCCTAGCGAATTAATTAACATACTGAATATTTGATATCATCTAACGTGAACATTTTTATTTTATAATAATTTCGGATTCGATGATTCTGTAATCTTAATAGTCATCGATACAGTGCGTTCTATAGAATAAAATCTGCAACTAAAAATGGACATTCCTTGTTTTTCTCTTATAGGCGTTATAACACGTTCGAGCTTTAGAACCACGATATTCCAAGTAGTTGCCTACTAGTTTGCAACGATGCGAACTCGATGAATAACCGACCTCTGTATATACTAAAATTGATGGAGTAATCGAAACTCCTTGGGCTATTAGCGACCTCGAGGAATATCAGTTAACGATTCGCGGATTTGTTACGTGTGTGCGATAACTGGACTGTGGATTTCAATGCATTTTTATATTTTTATGAGTATGACTAAAGAAATGGAATTTAAATACAGTTTCATCCACCAAATATTGTAATATAAATAAATGCTTGGCGGCAAAGGTAACATTGAAATTGTTAAATGGATTCCTCCATTTTTCGTTATATTAGGTTGTCCCAAAAGTTTCTTTCGTTTTATAAAAAGTATCAGATGCACAACATTTTTTGTTCTATATTATGTTATTGAATTATCTAATTATTCATTTTATTGAATTATTCCAATAGTACAAAATGGATCATACATAATTCAATAAAATAATATAAAACAAAAAATGTTGTGTATCTATTATTTTCCTGTAAAACGAAAGAAAATTTTGAGACAACTTAATACCCGATTCTTAGTACTTGACATTCAGACGTTTTCAAAACACTGCAATCTTACGTCTTTCACACCATCCGCCACCGAGATAAAAACTTCCAAATTCAATAGGACGATATAATAAATTAAAGCGACTGCTCCGAACTAACTGACTGTTTTCGACACATTGGGAAACGTGTTTCGGCAATGCCAACGGCGCGTAGAATTTTTAAGTTTGTGTCTCGATAACGCATACTGCAAAAGACACGTGTCTGTGGCGTTTTTAAAACGTCTGGACAACCTGTACATATTATGTGCATGTTTGCACTGTTAATCATATTTGATTGATCATAATTAGTTAATCAGTTAAGTTAATTAGTTAGAAACGAGTTAGATAAGACAGCTCTTTTCGTATAAGATTTTTAATTTTTCAAATCGCTCTTAAAGAGAAAAAATCAATCCGCTTTACAAAATTTCTTTCTCTGAATTACCTCTACTTGTCCTATTTGATTCTCTTAAAATCACGCATTTTTCACTGATGTATAGATCGATCGTTTTGAAAAATGTTTCAGAGCGGCTACTGGAGCAAAAGCGTCCACGAGGCAGAGGACGCAGAGCAACAATCACAGCAACATCAGCGAGCTACTGGACAATCTTCTTCGCGGTTACGACAACAGCGTCAGACCAGACTTCGGTGGTCCACCAGCCACGGTTGAGGTCGACATCATGGTGCGCAGTATGGGTCCGATTTCCGAAGTCGATATGGTTCGTATCTCTTCGTTTCCCTTTGTTTCTCTCAGCAGCAGCAGCAGCAGCCTGGCTACTTGATAGATAGCCATACACAATTGCCTGAGATCTCATTCATCGTGGTACAAATTCGATTTCATTCGTTACATGATTCGATTGGAGTAGAAGCAGTTTTGTGAATTTCTATTTGTAGAATGTGCGCATTACACGTACGAATGTAAGCATTACGCGTATGCATAAACAGTTCGTGAATTAATTGAAGAAATGAATAAATAAAAAGAAACAAAGGTTAGTGTATTTTTATAGAATTAATATTTTGTTAAATATTAATAAGGAAGAATGAGATTGTTGTATTTTATTGTATTTCTTTATGATGTCGAGGCTTATGTCTTTCACGATCTTTCTTGAATATATACGCGTTTGATATATTCTGTTTCTATAGCTGAATGTTTTTTCTTTCTTTCATTATTATTTAATTTGTACTTTACAATTTGTCCAACTGGACATTTGGTAAATAGAACTTAACGTATTTCTTGAAATTAAACCTTATTTTACTACCTGTCTAAATATAACTGTATCTCGTGGTTCGCTTTATTTCGTTACTTTAAGACTTATCTGCCAAAGCATTTGTATATATATAAAGGAATGAGATTATTTCTGATCTATCGAAACCAAGTGCAAAACTTATTTGCTCGAATTATACGCGAAGCTTTTGCGCCAATACTTATATTGGATAATGTATTATTATCGTGGAGTACTATAATGGTAAAGAAGAGGACCTCGTTGATTAGAAAGTTTTATCGAATACGAATTTACAAAAGTAAGAAGAATAAAATCTCTGCGCAGACATATTCAATGGATTGCTACTTCCGGCAATCGTGGGTGGATCGACGTTTGGCTTTTCAAGGTGGCAAAGAAACTCTGGCGCTCAGTATATCGATGCTGGCAAGAATCTGGAAGCCGGATACGTACTTTTACAATGGAAAGCACAGTTATTTACACACGATAACCAGCCCTAATAAGTTCGTCAGGCTTTATCAAGACGGCAGAGTCCTGTATAGTTCAAGGTAAGTGATTATTTTACACGATTTATAATATTTTTCTATAATTTATAATATTTTGCATAATTTTTAATATTTATTACCGACGGTTGCTTCTCATTGTCCTCGAATTTTGGATCTTCAAAGACGATTTCAATCTCCTAAAAATGTCTTATCACGGATACTAATTATAATATAGTACCTACGTACGTTTTAATCCTGAAATGCTGATTAAAATTTTTCTGCCAGAACGCAGAGTAGAAATGTTTTGCTCAGAGAGACGCAGAATTCCAATTTCTCGAGGCTGAGAGTCCAATGTCAAGACTTTCTTTACCATCGACAGACAGAAACTGAAATTTTTAATTTGGCAGATTCGTATAAAAATGCTTTGCTTTTAGAAGATTTTAACACGCGAGTTTCTTTTATCATAACGAACGAAGCAGATATTCTGCGTAGAAAAAGTTTCAATTATAAATTCGCTAAAGCTTTACCTTTGTATAATGACAAATCCTTTCATTAAAAAAGAAAAGAAAAAAGGATCGTGATTATATGCAAATCGTTTGACGAAAATCAGACGTATTAAATGAGACGTTAATAACACAAAACCCTGTAAATGAAACGTAATGATTAAAGTATAAAATAGGAGGTTTGTTAAACGTAAATTTTACGATTAAATGATAAAATAAAAAAGTATATTCCCGAACGTAATGATTAAAGGATAAATAGGGAAGAAAGTAAAATAGGGCAAGAAAAATATATATCTAATATGAACGTGCGAAATAACGTGGTACGCTGAGGTATCTTGCAATATCTTTCAATCAACTGCAGTCAGTCCGTGAAGTTTATGGGGATTGTGCAAGTTTTCTGTTTTATTGCGTTACGTCCGTTTCGTGATCGTCCTTCGCTTGATCGAGCATGATGCAGCGGTTCCAGCTGGCCGCCTTGACTTGCGTTTATGTTAAACGACTCTATCGTGTCTACACTGGAAAAATGTTTGACCATCGTTTGAGAGCGAATGATAAATTCTCTCCTAGTCAAACGTTTCTGGATCGAGTTCAAAAGCTGTCTCGAATTCAATCACCCACATAAAATCCTCCCGAGTTTCTTCGCAAAAACCGAGTGTTTATTCATCTGACGCATTGAAGGATATGAATTAAATAGAGAAAGAGGAGTATACGTTCAAGTACGTAAAACGATGTTAGTAGACAATATGACAAAATTCCTTCTTAGCGTAATGGTGATTTTAAAGTTTGTCGATATAAAAAGTCTGCGCATCGTTTAAAGTTTTCAATTCTAAATTTTGAAAAAGATGCAATGAGATTTTTAGATTTATGGCTGTAGAATTTAATAACAATTTATTCTAGATCATTGATCTTAAATCAATGATACAAAGATTTATCCGTTATTACTACAAATAATATTTTATTGATCTATCGAAGTAATTGTTTAGATTACATTTCTGTTGTTCTGGGTGAAATCATGTTAGCAACTGTAGAAATTAATGGTTAACGATTTATCGAGATATTCGATTGATTACATTATCTGTTCCAGAATTCATAATGTTACAAAGTAACAAATTTTTATTATCCAATAATTTGAATTGTGCGTTACATTCTCGTGACTATACTTGAAACTATATTGCAATCGGTCGTACAAACTATCCATAGCGGTCGAGTTTACACGGTCAGTTATTATCTGAGAATGTTTCGTTCTGTTTCGAAAGTTCGTTCTGTCATCGACAAAATGTAATACAACGCTTAACACTAAGCTTCTCAAGGCCGATCATATGACCGGTTACAAAATTTAAATTAAAATTCTACATTCATCGTTATTTCTTTCGTTCGTCTAACTTCATGTAAATTCTTGTGTTATCCGATTAATCAATTTCTCAATTTTTGTTAATATAAGAACTTACACGAACTTAGATGAACAAAAGAGATAACAATGAACGTACAATTTTAAATTAAATTTTAAAACCAGTCATTTGACCGAGCCTGGGTAAGATTAGTGTTAATACTTTCTCTGTTTCATTCACAAGAGTGTTCAACGATCCAGCTATTTCAAATTGTCCATACAAGGGACCGATAGAAGTACACATCTGCTACAAGAGAAAAGCAGAGAAAACAAACAAAGAAACAAAGTGAGGAGCGGAGAGAGAAAAAAAGAGAGAGAGAGAGAGGGAAAGGGAGAGAATCAAGCGATGTACATTTCCCCTTTGTTAACCCATTCCCTTTCTCTTGACCTAGTCTTCTGGATCGGCTCTATTGTGCAGACCAGAATTAACCCTTGAGCTCAAGGTGCCTCTGCACACGTACGTACATGCACATCTCTCTGGCTTCCCTAAGAATCACGCGTCGGGCTTGTTCTTTCAAAAAGTGCATCGTCCTTCTCGGAACTATCATCTTTTGTGTACGGTGACCGAGAGACAAAGGACTCGAGATTATTACCTTGATTTGCGTCAATGTTGTTAATTCTAGAGCGAAATGATTCGAATAAAGCGTTACACGAAACGTTCTTCCAGATTCTAGGCAGAAGCTTTTAGGTGCAACTCCCTTGAAAATTGAAATATGAACTTTCCCTCTTTGAATGATGTTCATCTTTTCTAACCAGAATAGAGTACGATTATTGAATATTCGTTACGATTATTGCTGAAATAGGAATAATTATTAATTTAAAGCTGTGCACAATCTCATAAAACATCGTATGAAACATATTTATGAAACACGCGTTTCCTATACGGATAAATTCAATAAAGAGAAATGGATAAATTCCAGGCACGAAATTGAATGGCAGTTTGAATTTTATAATTGATGTTGTACAAGCGTACACGTGTAACTATTTTGTTACACGTCTGATTGATTTACACTGATATCAAACTGCATCTTTCCATCCACCTGATACAAAAGGGCTCTCCCGTATAAGAATATATTTTCATATAATTTTAAGAATTCGAGATCGTTTACACGTTATAAACGAGTTTGAGTGTTTTTACGATTTCGATGTTTACCAGATATGATTAAAACATCACGCATGCAAAATCGAAGAATAGCATTTCTTTTAGTATTTCAATAATGTGTTTACTATGATTCAATGAAACATTTTATACGAATCAGTAGAATTGAAAAATTACGATGCAATAATATTTTGTTACTTCTTAACAAGGAGTTGATCAATTTAATCGATAATTCAATAAATCTTGGTGATGTTTGTAGTGCCTCTAAAAGTATTTGTTGAAGGCTTAGCCAACTATCCCTGGGATGTGACCAGAGCGGAAAATCGAATTCCTTCGGAAACTCTGTACACTTTCGTGACCGATCGGTAGCCATTAAATGTCGATCACGTCTGCACTATTTGCACAGCACTTTATTAGCTGCTACTACAGCTTTCCGTAAATATTTATTCGTACGGCTGTTAGTTACTTTACCGAGATTGAACACGTCTGAACGTAAAGGCATTAAGTACCTACCAATTTTGTTCAACCTTGATCAAATCTTTTAGAAAACTTGTTAATTTTCAACGCTCTATTAGTATTAACGTCAGCTCTAACTCCTCCGTAATCGTTTAATTCAGAAGTACAATTAGAAATTAATTTAATTTTCCACGACTAACTTTATCGCTACCAAGGGGAAGTAAGTTTCGTTAGGCACACAAATTATAAGATTTACGATCAGGACCGTTTCTTTCGCGTACACTTTTCGCGAAAAATTAATTATTATGCCACTTGTGAGTTATAAATATATTAAATGTGCAGCGATGTCAGAATATCCAGAAATAAATGTGATAAAGGTGGTAGGCAAAAAAGAATCGCAAAGTGGTAAGATACGACAATTTAAAGAAATCGAGCAGATTTTAGTTAGAGGAAGATAAAAAGAAATGTAAATTATGTAGTGATAAGGAAGGAAATTTAAAGTACTATGTTTTCTTTTTTTTATTTTCCTCGAGATACTTTACATGTTATTTATGAAAACATTCGTAAATTGGCGTAACAAGTTACAATACTAGTTTGTAAGCATAGTCCCAATAATCCACGCCTTAGAATTAAATATTAGGTTCTCCCAAAACCTTTCTTTCCGTTTATAAGGAAATACTTGTTTTATTACTACAAAATAAATTATACGTGATTCAGTAAAATAATATGAAACAGAGGATGTTGTGCATCTATTATTTCCTTAGACGAAAGAAATTTTTGGAACAACCTAATACATTTGTTCGCAGATTATTAAGTGTCTTAGTTAAATAGATCATTAGAATGTTTTTTGCTCAGTCTTCTCGGAATAAACGTTCAATGTAAATTGTTTGCCAGTAGATTTGGGTGGTCTCCTAATCTCTTCTTATGTCTCGCAAAAAGACGCGTTAATTGTGTTGTATTTTCAACTGATTGCACCTGGAGATCTTTCCTGAGATCCTCGTTTCTAATGTACCACGGAGCATGAACTAGCGTACGAAGGATTATTGATCGTACAGCTCCTGTACTTTTAATGAAGCACTATGTAACGAAGTGCGAAAGAATGAAGTGGTTGGAAGCTAATACGAAAGAAATTTCAGAAGAAAAATATTGCGAAGAGACAGTTAACTGGATTTACTCCTTAGAGAAAAAGTAAAATGGAAGTGCGAAACTATGTCAAAACTGGAAATAAGTAGCATATATATATATATATACATACATTTTTATACATATATTATTTGTAACTGTCACGAAGTAGAGCTAGAATGATTGATCTACAATTCATAAGTAGAGGACAGATTCTTATGCATTTATAAAAAAAGTTGGAAGTGCGAAATTACACAGACTGTACATTATATGAAAAAATATATAAAATGAACAAAGTGTAGCTCTTTTCATAACATCTGGCAAGGGAAACAATTTTCTACCGAGGTTCTATTTTTTAAATTATACTCTGAAAAATATGAATTTGCATACAAATGCGCAATCTTTTCGTAAGTATGTATGTGAAGGTTTGGATGGATTAATATTTGGCAACTATAATGCCAAGTCCATTTCAAAGGCGCAGACGGCGAAATTAATA